ATAGCATGCATTTAGGCGCCTGGTGTTAGCAGTCGCGTCTAAACATATATATATATATATATATATATATATATATATATGCGTGTGTATGTATGTATGTGCATTTAACGTTAAAATTACTTCTAACGCATATATGTAATACTCCTATATTGGCAGTAAGAGCTAGTACCGTCCGAAAATACTATAGTACAGATATATCAATAAACACGTACGAAAGAAAAGGAACACATGCGTTTAAAAATAAACATGTACACAACACATATACAAAAACGCACTCAAGTACACAATACACTGACAAAAACGGTACTAGACTGTCTCGCTTTGATTTCGGAATGCTTACACATTGAGAAGTTAGCTTACTGCCAATATAGAAGTCTTACATATATACTAACGTGAAAGTAAGTTCTGCAATGAAATAAAAATCAAATATGTTAAATTTCTATTATTTTAATTTCAGGAAATAACTAGATATACGATTGAAGAATAAAATAATATTAGCATCCCAAAAAACGTATTTTAATGAATCCGATACTGAGTAGTATCGATACTTTTTCCCTGATACTTTTAGAGTATCGATACCATAAGCTCGATGCCAGTCTGAGTACTCAGTATCGATACCAAAGTCTGAAATTTCGAACCCTACCAATTATTATTCACCTTTATTCAGTCTATGATTTACAATCTTACGGACTAGAAATAGGCTAAAAAGTATTAAAGGTGACTAGTATGTGTACAATTACGAAAATAGGTTTCGAGAGATGATTTAAAGAGACTTCTTGGAAACGAAAAGTCGATATCTAAGCTCTGAGATATTGTTAAATTCTACAAGGCCTCGAAAAATAGGCGCAAAAAATTAGTAGTTAGTCTTAACGGCAGGAACGTAAAAGGGGATGCGAGAGCGAAGAGTTCTGAGAGGCACATTAAAGGTAACCTGCTCAAGAAGAGATGGGCAGTCAATGGAGCCAGAGATAAGATCGAAGACGAATAAGAGTAATTGGGTACGCCTTCTATTTTCCAACGACAGCAAATTTATTAGTTTACACCGGGAGTAATGTGAAGGAATTGGATCTGAGAAGTTAAGACAAGTTAAACACATTTTGAACTCGCTCAATCCTAGAAGCGTGACAATTATAAATAGGGCTCCATATAATAGAGGCATACTCAAGTTTAGATCACGCTAACGAATTAAATAATGCTTTCCGAGTGTAGGGTCTCTAAAATCCTTGGCATATCTACGAATAAATGCTAAATCACTATAAACTTTTGGAAGTAAATGACAAATATGATTTATAAATGAAAAATTCGAGTCAAACACAACACCAAGATCCACAAATTCACTAACAGAGGTAAGCTGATGGTTTACGAGGTAGTAATTTGAAGTAAGGATATTTTGAGATTTAGATAAGGTCATCTTAAAGCACTTTTTTACATTCAAAGACAGTGTATTATACACCAATTTAAAAGACGGTCTAAATTTTCCTGAAGAAAGAGAACATCAGATGAGGAGGTTATTCTACGAAAGAGTTTTAAATCATCGGCATACAATAAAAAACTAGTGTTTGAAACAGGAGCTAATATCGTTTATAAACAAGACCAACAATAAGGGGCCAATAATGCTATCCTGGGGTACACCTGTAGTGGGATTCGCCATTCTATTTTAACGATTATCCAATCGTTAAGAAAACTTAACGACGATTTTAACGATTTGACAATTCGCTAAACATATTTTAACGATATTCGCTATCGCTTGATCAGCTGTTGTCGTTAACTACTCGAATACTCGTTAAGTTAACGACGAATATTTTGAAGTTGTTAGCGGCATCGACAAAAGAAAATTTGATATTTCATTTGAGTTAAAATAAAATAATATAGATCGCGAATTTACTTAAGTAATATATAAAAGAAAAACTTTTTGTTAAAAATGGCATTTGAGTATTTGGCATACGTTTTATCCCAAGATGAGGAGATAATAAGCCATTCATCAGTGGATAGACATTTGCTTCGAGAAGTGGCCAACCCTTTCCACTTGACTGCAACTGAGTTTCGTAACCTTTACCGATAAACCCCAGACTTGGTTGAAGATATTGTTTCCCAGGTTGATAGCCAATTAAGGGGTCGAAGAATAACTGCGATAACGACAGAGAAACAGGTAAATAATGTAATTTGCAAGTATTTTTCAATTTTAAATGCTTTTGTAAATTTTAAAGGTTCTAACTGCCTTGCGATTCTTCGCAACTGGCTGTTATCAACGTCCCGTCGGAGAGCAATGGGGAATATCCATGAGCCAGTCGTCCGTAAGTCGCTGTATACATCGCGTAACGGATGCAATAAACCGCACCATGTTTTTGGCAAAGGTTAGGTTTCCAATGACCCAAATAGATCGGCAAGCTGCAAAAGAAATTTTCGCTTCAGCATCCGCACTATTTGTAGGAGGTACTATTGGGGCTATCGATTGCACTCATGTGTCAATCATGAGCCCAAAACATCATGAAGAAGCGTATGTTAACCACCATGGATACCATTCTATCAATGTGGAAATGGTAAGAGTAAAATTTGCTCACGGGTTAAACTACTGAGAATTAATTTTATTTTATACAAAGATATGTGATCCAAATCTAAAGATTTTGGCTGTCAATGCTAAATACCCAGGAGCGCGAGACGATTAATTTATTTGGAGCTCCTCTGCAGTCCGGAGAGTTATGCAGCGAAGTTTTGAAAATGGAAACCATAACATGTTTTTCATTGGTAACTTTTTAAATCCACTGAAACTTATTTATTAAAATCAATTTAATTGAAAATTTCGAATATATATTTGCAAGTGACTCAGGATATCCCTTGGACCCGTGATTGATGACTCCTCTACCTAACCAACCAGAAGGGAGTCCTAAATTCCGCTACAATGAGGCATTATGCAAAGCTCGAAACCCAGTCGAGAGACTTTTTGGCGTTCTCAAAGGAACTTGGCGATGCTTATCTCAGCAAAGGAGTCTTTTTTATGATCCTGGATTTACTGGAAAAGTAGTACGCAGTGTTGCATAACTTGCGATTGGGTGACCAAACATAAGATCCCCAGACTGAGTTCCTAGAGCCAAGGACACATAGCAGTAATGTTAATCAAGACGCGCCGTCTTCAACAGCAAAACGCGTCCAAGACCGGCTAATTGCAAATTATTTTACATTAATAAAACGTTGATAAATAAAAATTCAGAAGGAATACAATAAAATTATTTTGGCATTTTATTAAACATTTGTATGTAAATAAAAACTCTTGTATCAATAACTTCAGTCTTATTTTGTCTTTAATTTGAGTACACTTTTTTTAAGTCTATAATTATATATGTAAATATTCATTAAATATAGGGTCCATCAAAAGACAGATCTCAGTATGTAATCACAGATCGGTTTCTATAATATGATATGGCGTGGATTGAAACACCACCTAAAAGCACGTTCAAGTTACAGGCGCATCACAAAATTAAAACATGAATTCACAAAATGAAATTTCATTACTTATTGTATATAAGAAATATATGTGGTATATCTTACATGCAGTAAGACCGTATACCTCTCTATCAACTAAATTTGTAAACATTGAATTCATTTGAAAATCAACAGAACTTCAAATAACTCGCTTATTAAAAACAAATAAAGATCAATTCAAATTTGTAAAAATTCTTCTTCGAATATCTTAAACAGTTATTCTAAATGTAAAAAGTTAACTTCATGCTATGTCGAATTAAAACTTAACTCTAACATAAATTCAAAAAAAGGAACTTCATGTTATATCAAATGAAAACTTAACTCTAACATAAATATAAAAACAAAAAAGAACTTCATCTTACATTTAAAACGCTTAAAACTAACATAAATATTAAAACAAAAAATTACTTCAAAAACTACATATTTACACATTATTTACATGCGGTAGATAGCGTTCAAAAATGATAGAATACAAGATTGCGCCGTCCTGGGCGTTGACATTTGTGTACCACAAGTAAACAAAGAATAGAGCGAAAAGAAGAACGAGTTGAAACAGCCAAAGCAGTTCACTTTACTGCGAAAAACGTGTTTTAATTTTGCTAAATGCAAAAATATTGCATTTTTCACCTAATCTATTAGTGAACAGTGAACATTGTAGTGCAATCCATTGCTTTGCAATAGAGGCTGCTTCAGCAAACGTTTTAGTACACTCCATTGCTTTGCAATTAAGGCTGCTGCAGAAAACTGCAGCAGCATCTCTGCGGGACTGATTAGTTAACTTGCTAATGGAGGCTGCGTGGAGCAGAAACAAAATCATTGTAAGGAAATGCTGTTAATATAATAATAGAGAAACATTTCGGGAACGGCTTTGCCGTGCCCTATGTACACAAAATGCAGCGATTCTTCCCAGCGCTACACTTGCATCTACGCTTCTTGCATCTTGACGGTTGTCGCAATTTAACACACAGCACTTCATTGTATTAGTTTTTACGCAGTCTTCAACTCAAAAATAACTCACAAATTGCAAATTAACACGATTTAAACTGATTTTTCACTTATAATTCAAATTTCTCTTTCGCTGATTTGTAAACAAAGGTTTATTTACAAGTTACCACAACTGTCAAAATCGGCAAAACCAAAGTAGCGGTACAACTGACGGCGCCACCTTTGTTCGCTGCACCGTGGATAGCGTTTGTTAAATTATTAAAGGCATATCCGCACATGCCTTTAAACCTTGACCCATTGTGTTCATAGCTTCGGCCAACGATTTCGCTACCTGCACACTCGCCGTACTTGTTTCAGCTAACAACTGTTGAAAGAACATACGAATGTAATACTATTTTTTTAGTATGTACAAAAAATTACCTTCAAAGCATCTGCTTGTCTACTTGCTATTTGTACATTCGCTGCACTCGACTCTGCTAGCATCTGTTGAAAAATAACCGAAAAAATTATGTCATAAAATTTTACTTATGTAAAGTTACAAATATGTAAATTACTTTTAAGGCATTTGCTTGGGTCTGAGCAATTTCCAAAAACGTTTTTTGGGCCTCGGTACCAACGTCCACACGCCTTCTTTTTGCACCTCTACGAGGCGTTTTTCCTGCAGGAGTTACAGGAGTCGATGTGCACATCTCAATGCTCACTTCGTGGGAAATAGATGGCATCTCGATGATGACACTTTCATCACCTTCTTCCATACGAAGTTGGAGTTCCTAATGATGGGAAGAATTGTTAAATGCTGTGCTATTCATAACGATTTATTTGCTTTTTACCTCTTCCACTGGCACACTTTCAGCAACAGTTTCATGGCCCTGCACATAGTGTCGTTAAAAAAGAGTTACCGAATAACACAATCGTTACTGCAAACCACAAAAATCGTTATATTAGACCTCGACAAATCGTATCGTTAAAAGTTAGTGAATTGGACTACTGATTTACAATCATCGATATACACAGACAGAGTCCCATTTGTAAGGTAAGACTTTAACCATGCTAGGAAATTATAGTGAACGCCAATGCACTCCAACTTGTGTAGCAGTGTTAGGTGCGGCACCTTATCGAAGGCTTTAGAAAAGTCCGTATAAATGGTATCTACCTGCGAGCCATCTTTGAAGGAAGAAACACAAAATTCTGAAAAAGAACCTAAATTAGTGGCCGTTGAACGACCAGCTACAAAACCATGTCTGTTAATAAATAATCCAGTCGAAAGTGATAGGTTGAATATATGACATAAAGGAATACATAATGACAGACTACATCGTTTAACGAAGTGGGCACAAAAAACCATCAGAATCACATTTCCATGTCGGAGTTGGGTAGACATGGCGTAAGTAATGTCAGATGTCGAGACAATCATCGAGGCAAGATCTAGGCGTTGAGTCGGCCAGTAATTTATAGAATCGCTCTCACAGGCGAAATTCGAGCAGAAAAATTTTGCAAAAAGTTCCACAGTATCTGGTAGAGATTTCGAAGATTGGCCGTTAAAGTACATGCAAGTCGGAATATTAGAACTGCCCTGCTTAGAACGTACTAAATTCCAAAAAGCTTTTGGGTTGTCTTTAAGTTCAGATTCAAGTCTCCTAATGTACCGGTTATAAAGAAATTTATCAAGAACATTAAACTGTTTCGCATTATTAAGGTATTGCTCTTTGAGATGAGTATTGTGTATATTTGCCATATGGCGCTTGTAGCATTTATTTCTTTTATTTTTCAGATTGATTAGAGTGACAGAGTACCAGGGTAATTTATAAGGCTTGGAGGGTAAAGTAGCCAGTTGCTCAGAGAAGACTTCAGACATAATGCAAAGAAAGGTTTCATAAGAGGCATTCACATCTTTTGAATTGAAGATAACACCAATTTACGTCCTTTATAGCCAGCTTTAAGACGTCGTAATTTGCATCACGAAAATTTTAGGAAATCCTATTTTGCCTTAAGCAAAGCTTATCAAAAAACTCTAAAGAAATGATAAGGGGATTATGATGCATATCAGGATAACAGTTCGGAGTAATTATGCAGTATATATTCAGATTTTTGCATGTATATTCAGCATTAGACCGTATAGCACTATTTGGAACTTCCTTGGTTAGCTTCTGGTTGAAAAAATCGAAAGGGCCGCACAATGATATCAGACATTTGGATTTAAGATGTTGTTGTAGAAGGAAGATGTCACACCAATCTTAAAGTTCACGCTCCGAAGACTGTCAAGTGGAGTTCCTTTTTTTACTAATTTGTAGCACGTAAGGTGTGTACTATCGATCTTTGCATGTTTAGATACATACGCAATAAGGTTTTCCTCAGATACAGATGGTTTAAAGGAAGAAATGTGCAACCATTTCTTCTTAATGACCACCTCAAGATCTGTATTATTATTACGCCCATGAACAATGTTTATGCGTTTGGGCCTATTTAAATTTCGGGCAACAGCCCAATCGCCATCATCTTCATTAGGGGCCGCAATAGCATCATCCGATTTATCAGCACTTCGTTTATGTATGTTGCCATGTGCTACATTCATACCACTTGTAGTTGACATTGTACTAACAGCATCCGGCTTGACAGATGAAGATTCAGCAGCAGCAGAATTATGAGAATCATCGGTGTTGATTTTCGCAAAACAGCACCAACAGCAGACCCAACAGAGCGATCGCCATTAGATTGCACAGAATTAGTACCTGCAGCGGCAGCGCAGCTCATATCGAGTAAAGATGTATTAGCAGCAACAACAGCATTAGCAGTACATGGGGTTGATGGCTTCGTCGTGGTAGTAGTAACAGCAGGTAAATTGGCAGTGCAATCTGCGACAGTATTTGTATCCATGAGGCCACCAACTTGACGCACAGTATTAGAGCCATTCGAACTAGTATTAGTATTAATATTAGTATTAGCATTAGTATTAGACAACAAAACAACATCAGCGAACGACGAGCAAGATGGTTTAGTAGAAGCAGTGCTAAGAGAGACAGCAGGTGTAGATTGAAGAGCAACAGATGGCAGCGATGTAGGCGCAGTAACAGAGGTATATGTGCTATCGTTTGTTACAAGCGTATTGACAGCTGTAGCAATTGGCACAGCAGAATCCAAACAGATCCACAATAGATCATCAGGTCGCAGTGCATAGCTCATAATTATCTATCCAAACGAGCGGGAGAGATACCGTTAACGTTACTCCCAAACTGTGCCCGTGGCGAATTAAATGGATGAGGGACAGCGGAAAACTCAAAAACACCAGGCGAGGAACAATAGTAGTTATTGTTGTAAGAAATATTAGCAGCTGTTTTTCTGGCATTGAATTCCGCAGCCATCATATATATTCTTATGCAGCGTTTTTGCTGTCCCTCAACATTTAATTTGTTTGTGCATATATTCATTTGCCGGTGCTGTCAATTGAAATTTCCTCAATAAAATAGGAAAAAAAAACAAACACACACAAATTGAGCCAGATTTCTATCAGTATCACATGGATGTTGAATTTGCGCAACTTTTCTTTTTTCAAATAATGTAAAATAATAAATTAAATCTCGATCAGCGATCACTGAAAGGCAGCTAGCAACTGTATACGCGAAAAAGCAATATTGCCAGTTTTTCTCATTAAACCCTGTTCGAATCGTGGAAATTTTTGAAGACCACAGGGTTTACTTTTAGCACTTAAGACTCTTAATGCAGAAATGGGGTTGCATTTATTTGCATTTAGGTGACAAATTTTGTATGGAAATTTACATGTAGAGTAGCATTTAGAGCTAAATATGCTAAATGTGCTTTTACGCGTAAGCAAAAACAGCCCATTACGCATTCACAGCGTTTAGGTTATTTGCACTCGAGTTGTTGTTGGTCGAATGCAAGGAAAGGAGCAGCGTCAGAATTACTTGACGGATATTTACATATATCAAAAAGTCGAAGGGCACTTATGACATTGTCCGCTATAGAAATTTTATTTTGATCATTCATTTTCAACAGATCATATTTCGTATATCTAATTGTCTCTATCTGACACAAACCAACTCCCATCCTTCCCAAAAGATCACGCCCCACCAACAACGGCACCACAGCCTCAGAATCTGGCAAAACAAAAAATGTATGTATTAATTCATGCCTACGAAACACGAATTTACAAGTAACAATGCCACATGCATTCAATCGCTTATTACCCATTCCACGGTAGCACGATAGTTTCCAATCAACATTTACTTCAACCGTTGCGGGCACACATGATCTTCTAATGAAACTGATAGGACTGCCCGTGTCAAACAAAGCTAAGAAAGAAATCAAGTCAGTGCACTTCTCCCTTTGATGGAAAGCAATACTTACCAAATTATTAGGAGCTAAACGTTCAGCTAACTGGCATCGTTCGGGTTCCTCATCATCTCCAACTGCAGCTGCCACCTTTGAATTATTTGATCCACCACGACGAGGGCAATTATGGCGAGTATGCCCAACCTCAGCACATACGAAACACGAATTTGGTTGTCGTCTCGGAGCTGTACATGCATCTTGGTAATGACCGTATTGAAAGCAATTGAAGCAGCGCACACTGTTAATATCAGCCTGACCTTGCTTGACTTCTGACGCAATACTTTTCTGTGTTTTTATGGTTTTCCTCTTTCTCTCGTATCGTTCCATCAACACCGAATAGACGACGCGCCATACAACATTGATACTGTAGACGTTTTATCATTTAGTCCTTCTATTATAATATCGACTAAATCGGTCTCTGGAATATCGGCTCGACTAGCAATATATTGCATTTCAGTTACATACTGGCGTGGCGTTTCTCCCGATTTGATGCAACGTGATTTTAATTGGTTGAAGATATCTTGCAGCGAAAATTTACATTGAAACTCATCTAACAATGCAGCTTTTATGTCCTCATATGAGCGCACCGAAATTATGTCAATGAATCGTCTTGCGTGACCACAAACCAAATGGCGAACAGCAATCAGTTTTTCACGATCATTACACTGAAGGATTTCAAACACATGCTCCAGCTAAGCAACCCACTTTTTAATATCCTGTGACTCAGACCCCTCAAATTTATTGATCAATGCTGTCAGCATACTTAAATCAAACTTGCGACTGCCCACTTGACCAATCTCTTGCTGCAACTCAGCTAGCTCGCGTTTCTTCCTAGCAATTGCCAGCATGCGATCAAGATACTCCTCCTCTTCAATCATTCTCTCACGTTCACGTCGATCACCATCTTCTGATAATTTATTTTCACCAATCTCTGGCACATTATTGTACACGTTCAGCTGAGCATATGCATCTGTTTCTTCACTTCTGTTCACGGCACGACCAGCGATTACATCATCGTATATGATTTATTAGAAAAACTGTCAAAATACGAGTCGCTTTCCAACAAAAAATTTTAGGTTGCCCGAACCCCACACCTGAATTGTAATGCGGTATATCGATTTACTATATTTTGTTGGATTTTATTTAAGGCACGTTGTACACTGTTCAGTGTTTCTTAAAAAGTACCAAAAACCGGAAGTTGGTTTCCATTACATGTATTGTATGGTTGCCATATTACATTATACATAATTAATATAATACATGGTTGCCATCTCACCTACATACCTACGGTCGGTGTTATGCAGACAAACTTTTGTTTGCCAAATTAAATGGCGGCTGCTTAGTTTGCTCGGAGGTGGTTATGTCGAGTTTGGCACAGGGTTGCACGTTCATTATGGTTTTCATGGCTATTGCCAACACGAAATGAGAATTTCAGATGTACATAACGCGCAAAATTTAAAATTTTTGTATATGACAACACCGAATTTGCTGCAGTTTGACCAAACAAAATTAGTTTGCTGTGAGAGTCGCCAAACTCGCTCTCTCCGAGTTTGCTGCAACAACAATTGCACGCAGTTTGCCAAACAAAATTTCTGCATAACACCGACCTACGTATACATCATTGATATAATACCATGTTTTCATACGATATGAAACGTATTACAATTATTCACTACAACTTCGATAAATAACTAAGTTAACATTTTTATTACAAAATCTCTCGATTTTAGACTGAATCACTTTTTTTTTATCAATACATCGATATTTAATTAAAAAAAAAAAATTTATTACAATGCCCGTTTTTATTGTTTCTCGTTTTCAGTGCTTTTTTTGGGGCATTTTTTGTTGTGTGGCAGCACAGACATTGTAGTACAATTGGTTTACAAAGCAATAAGTGAGGTTGAAGTTGACATTTTTTGCAACTTAAAATTCAATTTTCATAAAAACTATAAGCCTCCGGAGGGTGGGGTTTTCAGATTTACAATCACAAAAAGCCGATCTAAACCCCCTAATTTTTGTTTTTTTTTTAAAGCCGGGTTCCGTATTGGAAAATTTTCCCGAAAGGTCTTTCGTGCTGTTCACACATCGAAATAAAATTTCTTTTTCTCAATTTGACCGCGAATTGCTTTGGAAAACTGGAAATATTGCCGCGTCTGACACGCTCATAATTGGCTAGTCTCAAAAAAAGACTGAGTGGCAACCGCGGTTCAAATACTTTTATCGATAAAAATCGAGAAATTTCAGCCAACATTGAAAAAAACCAAAATTTGATTTCTAAATTACACGAAATCGAAATGTACTCGAGGAAAAAGATCAGACAAAATATTCCTCCTGTTTCTTGTCGGTGGAAAGAATGTAATGAATTATTCGATGACGATTGGAAATTGAACGGACATATTGAAAATCATTTGGAGGAATTCGATCAAGAAGGCAGTGAAGTTCTTGATTGTCAATGGAATGAATGTAGTTTCAAAACCAGTGATTATGTTGAAATCAAGCGGCATATTTATTATCATGGGTACTACACTGCGCTTTTAGTAAGAGGAAAATATGAATGTGAACAAAATCCCACTATGCCCAAATGCAGTACACGCGCAAGAGAATGTGACAAGATACCTGAATTAAAAAACGACTTTACATGTGAGTGGATGGATTGTCAACGCACATTTGTATCTATAGTTGAGTTTCAAGATCACATTATTCAGCATGCATCATTTGAATACGAAATTCAGAAGTCGCCAAATGATACCAGGCCCAAGGTGCAATGTAAGTGGAGTATATGCCGAAAGATACTGGAAAATAAATACAGATTAATTGAGCATATTCTTACTCATTCTAACAAAAAGTTTGTGGCCTGTTTTAATTGTGGTGAAGTTTTCCGGACTAGAACTACGCTATTTGACCATCTACGAAGGCAACCAGAGAATAACAGTAAGTGCACTAAAATTTGAATCGTAAAGTATTGACTCTAATTTCTTTATAAATTCAAAGCAAATAAATTTCAATGCGACCAGTGCTTTAAATATTTTGCCACGGAAAAATTATTGCGGTCACATTTCCTTAAGCACGTAAATTGCTATAAGTGCAGCCTCTGTAATATGTCCTGTCCATCTTCAAGCTCTTTAGCGAGGCATATACGTTATCGTCATCTTAAAGACAAGCCTTTTAAGTGCACTGAATGTGAACATCGTTGCGTTCGCAAATGCGATCTCGAAAAACATATGGAACATATTCACAGTAATAAAGTTCATCGCTGTCAGCAAGCTGGGTGCAATTATGCCGTTCGTACTTACAACTTGTTAAGAAGGGTAATACAAAGTTTGTTTAAATTATGAATTTGTAATTTGTAAATCATTTTACATTTCAGCATTGTTTGGAGGTTCATGGAAACAGACCATTCATATATATGTGTCATTGCTGCGATAAATTGTTTAAACATAGCAAATATTTGTCAGAGCACTTAATAAAAAAGCATGACTTCAAACTTCCTTCTGGACACAAAAGATTTACATACCGCATAGACGAAAACGGCTTTTACCTGTTAGAGACATTGCGAATAGAAAGCCTCGAAGTAACTAAACAGATTTTATCGCCACATCCGTTGGAAGCATCCGATGTAACTCAAGACAGCACTTGCTATGAAATAGTTTCTATGACTAACGAACAAGATCAGCGTATAATTGTTGCAAATGATGCGAATGAAGCACGATTGGTAGGTGAAGTTGTTATATCATTACCATTGCGAAACGAGAGATGATTAAAAATAAGAATATGTACAGTCTCATGCGATATCTCCGTGAAATAAAAATTAGTACAAAACTTATATATTTATTACCTTATTCACAAAAAATAGAGCTTTATAAAGTGCCATTTTCATACAAATATTAAATTTGTAATAGGCGGCATATACGGGTCTGGCTTGCGAGTCGGTTTGGATGTATGTGCGTGTTAACTCGCCTTCGACTTCACACACTTAAACCATTCAGAGTCATTCCAGGAGTTATGTCGGTGTAACTACCCTGAAGGAAAGATTGGTCCAATCGCACGAAAAATATAGTCGTAGGTATGGTAGTTTTGTATCTAGACCAAAGATAGTCCAAAAATTTTAAGCAATGTAATGTAAAACAGGTGAATTGTACTAAAAGTGGTCCGAATGTATTGCATAAGGTATGAGTTTTGTTCTAAAATTGGTTACAATGTCACGCAGTAGCGGACAATGGGTATGATGAACGATTTACTGATATGTGGGCACTTAGTCAACGAATTTTCATCTGCGGCGTTGCCAGTATCCGCTTAGAAAATCTGAGAGCCCCGGTTCGAATCGCAGCACCCGCAAGTTTTATTTTGTTTTTTTTCCACCCCAAAATTGGTTACAATGTAATGCAGAAGCGGACAATTGGTCCGAGCCTAGGATATTCAATTTTAAATGTAAATAGAATTTTACATGTTCTTGGACCAAGCTTTGGACAACTTACAATCACTTGCAGTCTAGTTTGTGGTGTGCTCTAAGTCTATTCCGAAATCCTGCAGGGTAACTCATAATTATTTTCACAGATATATCCAAACCGACTCGCGAGTCAGACGCACCGCGTATGCCGCCTATTAGTAAAATTAATTCTGTGGTCATAAGCAATAACCGCCTAAGTCGACTTAAGAAAGAATTGAGTTATATATGCTATCGTTTTCTGCAACTACTATTCTATGTTTATGTGAAACTCCCATTTCGTTAGCTAAGCTATTTAAAAAGTTATAGATGAAATTATTTTGGTTTCCCCATAAGGTTAACATTACAATCCAAATCTTTAAAGCGATTTTTCTCGAATTCAGGTTTTTCGACATAGGCGATTATTGCCTATGACCACTATGAGTTTATGCTGTCGAAACAAAAGTTAAAATCACTGAATCTTAAAAATAATGCAAAAAAAGCTGCGTTATTGTTAATAATAAATATTTATTTTACTCCAAATTTCTTATAGTTTGATATAATTGCATATAATTGTGTAAATGTAGACGTAAAATACCACTGTCATACATGCATATGTACATATGCCCTACCAGCATTTTATATTTCGGAAGTTACTAATTCGACACGACATTTCTGTGAAAATCATCGCCGATGTAATCGCTATTTTTTCGAATTCTTATCCGCTCTCGGGAAGAACTGTTCCACCAAGACGTCACGTCTTTATGTTACAAAGCGATACAGCAATTAGGATCTATTTCGATAGGAATGACAGTAACTTGTGCGATAAAGACTGAAGTGTTAAAGAAGACTCTTCTGTTGGTTAAATTTTTGATAAAACTTAATAGGAAATTTGTGGTACCTCTGAGCTTGCAACCACAGACGCCATTTCACCCTTCCTGCCTTCGGCTTAGATTGCTAGCTCAAACGCACTTATATTGTATGAAATTCCAACTAAACATTTTAAAAAGCAGTTCCAAAAATGTATGGTAAAAAGGCATTAACATAATAAATCGAATAACGCATCTGTTTAAAATTTAAACGTAATTTTATTTTGTGTTATTCAAATATGATTGCTTGCACATTAACTGAAAAATAAAAAAGTTTTAGTTTAGTTTTGGTTTAGTTTATTTAATTATTTTTATTTACCAAAATTATTATTATTATTTACCAAAATATTTCTTATTACTCGGAATACCTTCAACGGCACTGATTTTTATTTTTTAATTTTTACTTATAAAAATCAAGTTTAATCATTACATTTTGAGTTTTATTTTTTACTCAGAAAATAATCCTTATGTTTTGAGTTTTATTTTTTGCTCGGAAAATAATCGTTACGTTGTAAGTTTAATTTTTTGCTCGGAAAATAATCGATACGTTTTAAGTTTTATTTCTTGCTCGGAAAATAATGGTTACGTTTTAAGTTTTATTTTGGTCGGCAAAAATCCTCTTAGCTAAATCCTCCCCGCGGGTGCCGACTGGGCAATGGGCGTCGCTGCTGTCACCGCGATGGCTGAGCACCTAGGCTAGTACCTAGAGCGGGTCTTGGCGGTGGGAGTAGGCGGCGTCTAGCGAAGGCAGGAATACGTATCCATCCTTCTCTTCCTAGTGCTTTGCTCTGCATATGAAACTGGGGGAGGGGGGTGTATGCCTACTTCTGCCATTGCTAACGAGGTACCTGGCGGTAGGTATAAAACGCTAGGGGTAGAGGTTCCCTGACATAAAAACTCATCATGGAGGCCAGAAAGGAAGAAGAGCGGGCTGGGATATCAGCCCAAACGTCGGTGGGAGAAGTGGCTACTACCACCGGCGGGCACAGCGAGTCTACTTGCTGTGTCGCCAGTGGCCACACCTCCGCTGTGAAGCGAGCGGTTCACAGCGGTTGTAGTGTTACCGCCAAAGCGACGCTACAGCGCAGGGGTGCCACAGTCCACGAAGACTCGGACCTCTAAAGCGGTGAGAGCGTTAACACACAAGAAGAGGAGGCCTTGCTACGCTCTCCGGGGGATGCCAAAGGTGCTTGTTCGGCATCAAAGAAAAGGCCTAGGGCAAAACCCAGTAAGGAGGGGTTGAAGGCTAAAGCCATATACAAGGCGGCGGTCAAAGTCCACGAGAGACTTAGCTGCAAGTCCAACCGGACGAAGGAAGAGGAGGAAAGGTTGGCTTGGGCTAAGGAGAAAATGGAGGAAGGCCGGGCGTACTACGCGGCAAGGCCACGATTCACTGCCACGGATCCGGGATTCGTTAACCGGATAGAGGAAGGAATCGCGGCTAAAAGGCAGCGGTCTGCTGAAAGCGAGACAGCAAGGCCAGCCAAAAAATCGAGGCGCAGAGACGACGCTGCAAAGCCAAACGTCAGGCTCGATCTAGAGAAACCGACTACATCGAGAGCGGCGGCAATGGCCAGTGAGATAGCCAGAAGACACCTTATCGTGGCACTCATAGACCGGAGCAATCCGTTGGGACAAATCTCTCAGGAGCGCTGGGGAGCAGTAGAGCATAAGCTGCTGGATGCGCTCGTCGCAAAAATGGATGGGGACCCCACCACGACCATGCCAACTTTCGATGGTGCGGGGTGGCTAAATGGGGTGAAAATAATAAGATGTAAGGACGATCCCTCTCTACTATGGGTAAAGGAAGCTGTTGCGACGCTTCAAGGCCTGTGGGAGGGCGCCGTCTTGGAGGTTGTGGACCGCAGCTGCATACCATCCATACCGAAAGCGAAGGTGCTCATACCCCGCACGGTAAAACCGGAGAATGCGCTGCGGCTTCTGCAGAGACAGAACCCAGACGTGCCGACGGGAGATTGGAGGGTGTTAAAGGTCACCAACTCCTGTAAGGAGGATGGCAGCCAAAATTACATCCTCCAAATCCAAATATATACGTGAGCGACTGAGGTGTTTAGACGTGTTTGGCTCTGCTCGGAAAACTTTGTATTGCAAAAATGGCAAAGCGACCATAGCCAAGTGTTAAAAATCGCTAAATATGCGAGATAGAGACTCAATAAGCGAATTTATGTTTTATTAATTACAAATAAAGTGAACAAAATTCCAAAACTAACTATTTTATATTGAAAATAAGTTTTTCACATTTATACAAAATATAAACATAGATCATATACACAGATAAATAAACGGAAAAAATGGGTGTGTGTGCAAAATGCAATTCCACAATAAGAGGGGAAAGTGGTATAGCATGTGAAGGAGTGTGTGGTAAAGTGTACCATGAGAGCCTACAATGTTCAGGAGTTGATAAATATAGCGCAAAAATTATTGGTGAGAAAAACAACCTGATACGATTTATGTGTGACGAATGTATAACATACATACAAAACGTCGACCTGGTGCTACAAGATATGCAGATGAGTGTAAAAAAAAATAACTCTATATTAAACGAATACAAGAGCGAATTCGAAGAAACTATGAAAAAAAGTCAAAATGAGATAAAGTCACTATTGGAAGCAGTTGAAACGCGGTATACACAACGTGTTGCAATGATGGAAAAATCTCAGAAATTATTTGAAAAAAAAAATTGGAGAAGTAAAAAACTTATATGAAATGGTTGAAGAAGTAAAAAACAAAACTGAAACAATCGGCAAAGACAACGAAAAGGTGCATAGTGAAATCAAAAAGCTGAACAACAACACTAATGAACTACAAATGTCATATGCAGAAACTATTAAAAACAATATAAAGAAAAAGGCATTGCCAGAGTTAAAAAACGATGTTGCAATAATTGTGAAACCCAAAGTAAAGCAAGCGGTTGAAAAAACGAAAATAGATCTGAACAGCAAAGTTGATCCCAAAAATTTGAATATTTCGAAAATTGTATCAAAAAATAATGGTGTAATGGTGATTCATAGTCAAAATAATGATGAACGCGAAAAAATCAAAGATGCCATTGAAAAAAACATTGGCAAAGAATATGAAATAAAAGTGCCAAACTCAATTCGTCCAAGCTTCTTAATTGCAGGAATGAATTTTAAATACGAAAATAGCGATTTAATAGAATCAATAAGGAAGCAAAATAATAACCTGATCCAAGGCTCATTAAAAGTATTGAAGCAGTTTGAAAGAAATCGAGGCAACATAAAGGTGTATAATGCAATCATCGAAATAGATAAAGAGGATTTTACAAAAATTCTTGCCGCAGAGCGAATAAATGTCGGGTGGGATAGATGTAAAGTCTTCGATGCTATTAATGTACTAATGTGCTACAAATGCAAAGGATTTAATCATAAATCAGCCGACTGTAAAAACGAAGAAGCTTGCCACAAATGCCACGGAAAACACAACGATAAAACATGTGAAAAAAATCCAATTAACAAGTGTCTAAATTGCATAAAAGCGAACACAAAATTAAACCTAGCTTTAGACATAAATCATGATACATTTGACAGGCACTGTCAATGCTACAATAATAAACTAGAGATAAAAAAACAAAAATTAGGTTATTAGCAACTAAATGAAGATGCAGAAAACACACAAAAAATATATAATGAAAAATTCAAGAAACACAAAAATAAACTAAAATGTATATATCTTAATACAAATAGTATCACAGCTAACAAAAATGAAGTTGAAATAATGATCGAGGAAGGAAATCCAGATATTGTACTTTGTGCAGAAACACATACTACGGAGGATGTATATGACTCGGAACTGGAGATTGCTGGGTTCAATCATATTAGATGCGACTCGCATAGTCGTCACACCGGTGGTGTCTTAACCTATATTCATAAGCAAATTGATTTCAAAGTTATATTCAATAGGAGCATAGGTAATAATATATGGTGTATTGTGTTGGAAACAATACGATGTATAACTAAGTGGCGGATTTGTGCGTTATATCACTCACCAAACACCAGTGATGCCGAATTTATAAGACATATTAATGAGGTGATGGAAGATTGCTTTTCTGAAAGCGGCAACAATATCGTTATTGGCGACTTTAATATAAATGTCAATACACACACAACATACTCGAGCCAGCTAATTAGGACGTTCGAATCACTAGCAATGTATCAATTAATTAATTTTAATACAAGAATAACAGAAACAACGCAAACGAGAATAGATCTACTCTTTAGTAACAAAACTGAAGTTGAAGTATCGAATTTGGCTTCGCATAAAATATCAGATCATGAAACTATTTCATTCAAACTACCAATTCAAAAGAAGTACCAAATGAGAATTTATGAAAACCGCGTGTGTTGGAATAACTATACAAAAGACCACTTAGTAAATCTCCTTAGAACTTACAATTTAGCTGAACTAAACAACTGCGAAGTTAGCCTAAAGGTCCAAGGAATAAAGAGTATCCTCAATGACGTAATGGCCACTTTAACATATAAAAAACGAGTTCAAGTTAAATTGATTAATAAATGGTACGACCATGAACTAACAGAATTGAATAAGCTGAAATATGAACAATTTAAAATAGCAGAGAGATCCAATAATTGGGATAACTATATTATAATAAAACGATATTACAAAAAAGCAGTTAAAATAAAAAAGAAAACATTTATGGAAAACGAAATCTCAAGAAATACTAATAACCAAAAGTTAATGTGGAAATGTATAAAAGACGCCATAAATCTGAGTAGTGAGGTAGCACAAATTCAAAAAATTTCTGTAAATGGTGCTCTTATTGAAGATGATTATGAAATAGCAACTGAATTAAACCGTTACTTTAGTGAGAGCATAAGTAGAATCCGAGATAGCATTGAAATCTTCGAAGCAGGTGGAAATCAAATGGAGATAAACAGAAGCTTGTTTAAACTGAAAGAAATAGATGTTGAAGAACTTATGAGAGTTACAACGAAATTAAAAAACAAATACGGAGGAAAAAAATTAGTAACGGAAGGTGTATTAAAAGACAGCATGGAGTACTTAGGCTATACCTACACATGTGTAATTAATGAAAGTTTCCAATTTGGTGTATTTCCAGATTGCTGGAAGACATCAGTAATTGTACCTGTTGAAAAAGTAAAGGGAACAATTAAGCCAGAGGAGATACGACCCATAAATACCTTACCTAGCGATGAGAAAATAATAGAAACTGTAGTTAAGAACCAATTGCTGGATTACTTAAATAAATACGAAATTATTATAAATGAGCAGTCAGGGTTTAGATCAAAACACTCGTGTGAAACTGCACTTAACCTGGTAGTTGCAGAATGGAAAGAAAGTAGAACGAAGAAACAATTTACAATTTCAGTTTTCCTCGACCTAAAAAGAGCGTTCGAAACAGTAGACAGAGATATTCTTATAAAAAAACTGTATAATATTGGCATTAGAAATATAGCGCTTAACTGGTTCAAAAGTTACCTTAGTGGAAGAAAACAGAAAACTGTAATAAGAAGTAAGACTTCCCCCGAAGTGGACATTGAAATAGGATTGCCACAGGGATCGGTGCTTGCAGCAATTCTTTTTATAATTTACATAAATGATATTAAAAACTGTATCAAATACTGCAAAATAAGATTATTCGCTGATGATGCACTTTTGACTATAAGCTGTAACACGATTGATGAGGCAGCCTCAAAAATACAGTCGGACCTACAGGCAATATATAAGTGGTTGTGCCAAAATATGCTTAAAATAAACATAGAAAAGACAAAATGGATGATAATGGGGTCTAGAGTGACTCAAGATGATAATGTGTCGCTAAAAATAGCAAATACCCCTATAGAAAGAGTAAACCGAATAAAATATCTGGGAATAATTATAGATGACAAATTAAAATTGGATGAACATCTAAAATACATTGAAGGGAAAATTTCCAAAAAAATAGGGTTCATGTTTCGATCATGCAAGCATATTAGTAAGCAATACAAAATACTGGTCTATAGATCCATTATCGAGCCGCATTTCATTTACTGCCCTACAATTCTATTCGCATTAGCTGATTCGCAAATATCCAGGCTACAAATTAAGCAAAACAAAATTATGCGTTTCATATTAAGAAAACGGTATGATACCCCAATTAAAGATTTACTTGACAGCTTAAACTGGCTTAGTGTAAAACAGAACATGACTTACTACACATTGAAGTTTATACACAACATAAAGTTGGGAAACCTGCCGAATTACCTAAGTGAACGTGTCAGACTAAATAGAGAGGTCCATAGCTATCAAACAAGACACAATAACAACTTTTACTTGCCGGTAGTGAGATCCGAATTCGATAAAAAAAGTATATACTACGATGGAATTAGAGAATATAATGATCTGCCAATTGATATTAAAAACTGCAATAATACCAAAAAATTTAAAAAATTATTATACAGCTACTGTAAAGCGCTACCTATCAAGTAGTTAAACATTTTTAGTAAATAATTTTATAGATTATTAGATAATTGAAGTCGAAGAAATTTAAAGAATCGAAACAAATATGTAAACATTAAAAATACTTTGTACCTTATTAAATTATCTAGATCTTCAAGATCGTAATAAATAAATAAATAAAATAAAATAAATCAACAAGCCGGCCGAAGACATACTGTACGCTAGGTTCGGGAATATGGCGTGGGGCATAGGTAGCGTATACCTTCGCCTGAAGAAGCGAAGCCTGGCCGATAACAATGCTAACACACTGGAGGAGCGAGAGGTCGAGAAGGATCTGGGAGAGATCCTGGAGGCCACCTTGAAGCTCCAGGAGACCGAGAAGGGTGATCCGGAGATTCTACCCGACCCCGAAAAGAATCCTGAAGGTTCTTCAAATAAATCTGCATAAAAGCAAGGTCGCCTCTGCCGAGCTCCTCCTCAATTTAGAGAGGATCGGCTACGATGCGGCATTAGTCCACGAGCCATGGATAGCGTCGGGAAACGTGGTAGCTGGACTAAAGTCGCAAACATACTATACGCACATCCCGAGTGCAACAAACAGGGTAAGAACAGCTATACTGGTAAAGAAAAGTATACACTCTTATATTGGTCTTAATTTCTCTTCAGATGATCTGACGGTGGTAGCTGTGAAGGATGGCAAGGATGACACAATACTCCTTGCATCTTGTTACAGGCCTCACGACGAGGAGGCGCCACCAAACGAGCTCCGGAGGTTGGTGGGAGAGGCCGAGAAGGCGAAACGCCCACTCATCATAGGCGCGGATGCCAATGCGCACAACACAGTATGGGGGAGTGGAGATACCAACGAAAGGGGTGAGTCTTTACTAAACTTTATATTAATAAGTAATTTAGATATAGCTAACCGGGGTGAGGAACCAACTTATATTGGCCCTACCTCGAAGAACGTCCTTGACATAACACTCCACACTAGTGGGGGAATCAGAGTACAGAATTGGGAGGTGCTTAGTACACCCTCGTTCTCTGACCATAGGTATGTAGGATTTCAGGTAAAATTCTCAGCCCGTACAAAAAGCGAAACCTTCAGATGGTTCTGCAGCGTCTGCACCAACCTGATAAGACGCAACACAACATCGGTTAGGTGCAACGCATGCAACAACTGGTGCCACCTAAAGCGCTGCACAGGTCTAACGCACCACCGAGAATGGAGTACTGGCTTCATTGCAGCCTGTTGCCCAGCCGCACCACAACACCCCGTGCCAACGCCACCAACAACACACACGCTGGCGCAACCACCAATCCCACCACCGGTGGCGACGCCTTCGACCAACCCACCCGGTCAATGACCGGCACGTCAGGCCCCACAGGCACCTCATGCACAACCACCAGCACAGGCAGCGCGCCAGTACTCGCTCACACCGCGCGTAACCATCATAAGGCCACAATCCATCAAGCTGTTGCAGTTCAATTGCAACGGACTACAAGGTAAGATCGCTGAGATAGTCGGTTTCATGAGAAGGCATAAAATCTCAGTCGCGGCGATCCAGGAGACCAAACTCCACTCCGGCTCGAGCCTTCAGAGCCAGGACGACTTCAGCGTACTCTGAAGAGACCGCCCCCGTGGCGCCGGAGGCGGCATCGCCTTCATATTGCATAACGCGGTTCAATACCGGCTCATTACCCCCCGAACTGATACCAACGATACATTCAATGAATGTCAAGGCTTGGCCATCAAGTCGGGAGATCGTCAATGTGTACATACCACCCGCCACCAGTTGCTCAGCGGGATACCACCCCAACATAAGTGCGCTATTAGAGGGTGTGAACCGGGTAGTGCCAGGTGACTTCAATCCGTACCATGAACTCTGGCACTCCAATCTGGGCAATGACCAGCGGGGTACAACGCTCGCCGAGCAAATTGACGACTCCACGTTCTGCACTGTAAATGATGATGCCCCACCAGGGTCGCGGGTGACTGCTACAGCTCGCCAGATATAACTATAGCCAGCGGGGGTCTGATAAACTGCATTGGATGGCAACCATTGCTCACACTCGCATCAAACCACCTGCCCATAGTAGTGGCGATAGACCAGCCTAGAGATTTTAAAACATCCGAGAACCGGACATTTATGAACACACGGAAGGCGAACTGGGACGGTTTCACGGAATTCACAGATCGCAAATTCAATGCTCTTCCGCTACCATCATGCGCGCGCGTAGCAGAGCGCAATATCCGCAGGATCATCAACGCAGCAGCCGCACGCTTCATACCAGCCGGCCGGATCGCTAAAATCCGCCCAGGCTTTCCCACTGAAGCGGCGGGACTCGCAGACGAGCGTGATCGAATCCGCCAGGCTAATCCAGGGGATCCCCGCATAAGGGATCTCAATAGAGACATTAGAAACCTGGTCAACGAACAAATACATGGTATGAGCATATAAAAACCTGCAACAAAACAAAACGGTGGATAACCGGCTATCTGTGTGTTCGTCAGTCATCAGTCGAATTCTGAAACGCCAAGTCTAAGCCGCGTAGAATTAAACAGGGGGTCCCCCAAGGCAGCGTACTCTCCCCGACACTGTTTAATCTCTACATTGCCAAACTCCCTCCGCCGCCAGCAGGAGTAAACTTGGTAAGATACGCTGATGACTGCACTATAATGGCAACTGGACCAAACATCGACAGACTTTGCGAATAAATAACCGACTACCTCACCGATCTCTCCAATTTCTTCACCGCAAGGAGCCTCCAAATCTATGCCGCTAAATCCACCGCCACACTCTTTACAACCTGGACCAAGGAGGTGGGGCTAGAACTGGACGTCTTCGTCGATGGCGCCAAATTACCGACGACTAATCACCCTAAAATACTGGGAGTGACATTCGATAGCCTCTTCTTCTTCTCCGCGCATGCCACAGCCACATGCAACAAACTCCGAGCCAGGAACAAAGTCCTTAAATCGCTAGCCGGCAGCACCTGGGGAGCCAATAAAGAAACTCTGCTCGCGACCTACAAAGCAGCTCTACGTACGGCTACAGGTTGTCATCTCATGCCGTCCGAGCATCACCTCCATGAAGAAACCCAGATGCTGGCGGTGAAAGAACATACCACCATGTTGTCGAAGCAATACCTCGGGGGCTGTCATCGAGGAAATCACCCCAACAATGCCTTGCTTCGAAACGAACCGCCCCCACGACACGTGAGACGACACCTGTACGACTGGAAGGCAGACATTCAGCCGTACGTAGACCACCCATTCGATGCAGCAACATACAGAGCGGCGCTCAACAGCCTACACAGCGATGCAGTCAGAACGAGCCTCAGCACGCGTAATGACAACATCGTCCTAGGCGGTCGACCGCCGCCCATAGATTTGGAGGAAATGGAACTGCCGAGAGAGACCAGGTGCACCCTAGCGCAACTCCGTTCAGGGTGGTGTCACCGACTTAACAGCTACCTCTCCCGGCTGAACACTCAAGTGGCAAACACATGCCCCGCATGTGGGCAGGGTCCCCACGACACCCAGCACCTCTTCACGTGCACCTCCAACCCTACGACCCTGACACCAGAAGCGCTCTGGACCGCGCCTATCGTCGCTGCCCGCTTTCTCGGCCTCAGGCTTACAGAGTCGGAGGATGAAGACGACGACACATGACATAATCTGGGGGGTTGAGCACTGCTGCTACAACAACAACAACAACAACCACTGTGTAAGCCAATGTTTAATATTCTGACGTCGGCGTAATCTCCCCAGAACACTAAAAGTGCAATATCAAAGAATTCGAATTATCGTATTCGAAGCAATCCGAGCCATAAACATAAACGCGAAAGAAACGTAAGCTCCAAATGTTTTTATTTATCGTTTTTTAATCAGAGTTCCATAATTTTTCAAACATGTTTCCTTTTTCTCCTGCTTCCAAAAACCATCTCTGTGGGTGGGAGTGTGAAATTTTAGAAAATAGCTACTTACAAAACCTTTAATAATTGAATCATGATAGTGACCATGATTCAATTATTAAAGGTTTTGTAAGTAGCTTTTTTTTTTTTAATTTGACACTCCCACCCACAGGGCTGGTTTTTGGAAGCAAGGGGAAAATGGGAAGATTTCAATAAAACACTTCCTAAAAACGTAGCTAAAGGGTGAACACACCAAAACTGCGACACTTTGGGAAGCTTATAACTTACCCAAAACGAATTCAATATTTTGAATATTCAAATACCATAAGCTGACCATGACGTTAGTTGGACGTAGAAGAAATTTCATTTGAATTTGATTCCTTCTTCTTCTTCTTCTTTTTTG